TAAGAACACATTTTATAAGAACACTGAGGCTGAAATTGCTTAAAAATTAAGAACAAAATAAGAACAAATTGCATGAGGCTGAGGTAAAAATGTCAAATGAGATTTTTATTTAAAAAAACTAGAAGAACAGCAAATTTTCTGGGGCCATTTTTCCTACATTCCAGTACAGTGTATACTGCTGTACAATAATAATTTTCTACAGTATGTTTGAAAATTGTGTAAAATAAGAACAAAATAAGAACATTTTGAGCCTGAAATCGGCGAAAAAATAAGAACACTGAGCCTGGGCAAAATTTTACTGAAAAAAGTGTAGCACATATATTGCATTAAAATAATAAAAAAAATTAGTTCCAAAACGGGGCAGGAGAATGACATTTTACTTAATATACTGATTCTGTGCTAGACTGTGCTGTGGCAGTTCCCCTCGCCCCCAACCCATCTATATAAATTTGTCAAAATCATTTTTTAAAGGTGAAATATATATTTTAAATTGAAGTCTGAGAGTGCCATTTCCGGCCATCTAGAGGTGCCATAATTATAAATGTTCTTACCTCAGCTCCAACTAATTAGTGGGGCTGAGGTGTTAGGGACCCCCTATCTGTAAAACGCCTTCCTTTGCCACCCCTCCCCTCTATTTCGAATTTCTGGAACTGCTCAATTGATTGAAGGGTGGGGTAGGGGGGAGCAGCCTTCCAGAACACCTAATTTTTTTAAATTAAAAAAAAAATTGGGAAAAAAAAGAAAATTATATTTTATTTTAAGTCTAAGAGTGCAATTACCGGCCATCTAGAAGTGCCATAATCATAAATTTTCTTTGCTCAACCCCAACCATGTTGGGGCTGCGGTGGTATAGACCCTCCATCTGTGAAAGTCCCGAACCGGCCCCCTCTATTTCATTCCTGGATCCGCGAATGAAAACCGTTTAACACTTCATTGCATCTTCAGAAATCGATTAAATAAGCCTACCTCATATAATAACAATGCCTGAGCCCCCATCCCCTCTACAAATTCGCACCCACCCAATAAAAATCCTGGGTACGGGCCTGCTGGTGCCATAGCTCTAGACCACCGAGGTTGCGCTTAGTTACTAGTGTCGAATAGTGGTTATGACACTAGGCCAGGTAGGGCAAAACATCACTCTATGATAATTTCCTGTGCAAACACATAGATATCACTAAACAAACAAATTTAACGCGGGGTCATGATGTGGTGCTAGTTAAATTAATCTGTATCACATACGCTTACCAATTACACACACGATAAATGCTTCTTTACTGTCCACTGTTTTCCAAGCCAATTAAAGATTACAAGGTTGATATCTGTTTTTAAAAGTAGAAATATGTAAGACACCCATAACCAGGGGCAGATTTAGGACCCCCTACTTTTGGAAGGTAAAAAAGAAAGAAAGAAAAAGAAAAAAATGATAGGCCTAGCCCAGAACGCCTCAAATGTTAATTTCTAGTCTAGAACAAAAATTTCGTGGGGGCATGCCCCGGACCCCCTAGGGTAGTGTTGTCTCGATGGGCCCAACTTTCGGTCTTCCTTTCCGCCCCTGATAACTATAGGCGATCTTTGTACTACAGTGTATTTGTTTTTTTTTTCAAAAATGAAAATGTTGTTTATCATCAAAACGTGTTATCTGAGAAAATTCAATAATAACTTCCAGAATTTATTAATTTATTTATAACTCAATAATAATTCATAATGATTATTAATACTGTACTAAGCAATTCAAAAATATTTACTTCACAATTCTTCGACGGATGTAATATAATATATATCTTAACATGTACTACTATACTTTTCTACAGTAGCCTCCTTCCTTGGAGGTGTCGTTTTCTACTCTATTTCTACCCTTCCTGATATAATTCTACACTTATCCTTAGGAGGTCGGCTTTACCCACCAGAACTAGTATGGTTTCCGTTCAAAAATGAAAAAAAGCAAGTGCATTGAAGAATTTTTTTTTTTTTTACGATTGGAGTATTATTTACTTTTCTAATGCATTCTATTAAATACATTACAGTTTTAGGGGCGTAAATTTAAAATGGTTTACAAGTTACCAAAAACATAGACAACAATATACCTTAGGGCCTAATAAATGATTTTGCATCAGAAAGAATATATTAAAATGTGGCGTACCATAAGGTTCAATATTGAGCTCCCGGTTGTTATTTGTTTATTGTATGTAAGTAATATAATTTATTCATGGAAAGAAATAGAGATGACACAAATATTTTTTTCAATGATTATGACACACAATAAGATTACCGAATAGTAATCACTGAGCATACCTGACCTTTTAAAAATTGTTTTTTTTTTGTAAGTAGGCTCACAATAAATGAAAGTATATCAAGCTCTGATATTTATTCACAAGAAAATTTTTTTTAGTTTTCTCGTACTAATTAGCAGTAGCGAGGGGCCCCGGGGAGATTAAATGTTGGGGCCCTTGTCTGTCAGCAGATACTCTACATAGGGGATTCACCTAATAGTTGTAAAGTTCGCAAATCGTATGGCCAACTATTTATACAGCTAGACAGTCATAATTAAAATAAAGGTCCCCTATTTATAAAGCTCTGTGTTTATAGTGTATAGTTTACCTTCAAAACACTAAAATAGATGTTGACCATGCATTGGTTAGCCATTCACTAAAATTTGCACCATATTCAAAATGTGATATCATTTTGGCATTGTTTCTAACAATGGCATTACTATAGACGGAAGACACGGCCTACCTAAGATGACTGTCACTTTCGGCGATAATAGAAAATGCACTGTTGCAATTCAATCTCGAACATTTTCCTCTCCTCAACGCGCTTCCTCGACGGGCTCTCCCTGATTGGGGCTCTTCCCCACGCCCTCCTCCAATGGCACTTTCTATATTTACCTGTGTCTAAAATTGTTTTAAAACATGCCTGTTTGGCTTAAAATCGTTTACATAAATGTACCAAGTTCTTCGGAACCGTTTTCAACCGATTTTACATTTGAAGATCTCCACGGGATTAATATCTTCTGAACATATTTCTCATCAAGGCCAATGTTTTCCTTATAGTACAAGATGAGTAACTGTGTATTATTTAACCTGATGGATTTTTCTGGAATTTCCAAGAAGGGTATGAACTCCCTGATATTTCCTTGCCATTCGTAGTACATCGATAGAAACACATGTGTATCTCTAATACACATTAGGAGGAGTGGAGTTGTTAAACATATCATTAGATCAATGATGACCAGAATTTGGTTGAATATTTCATACGTTTTTACACAGTTTATGGTCTCGTTAGTTTGCTCTATTTCGCACAGGAATTCGTTGTTAAGGAATTGTGGCTCCACGGTTTTCGAGAGCAGAAGATAGTGATAAACCCAAGATATGCTTATAAACAAGTAGAGTAGCACTTTAAAGAAGAAATATGTCAAGCAATACGATCGGGAGGCACTCCATTCATTTACGTAGCTCTGTATTATCGAGTGAACTTTTGGCCAATCCTTTCTTTCACTCGTACTCACTTTGTCGTCTGTCCGTTTCGACGCTTCCGCTTCAAAACACATTTCCCGGCAACACTTAGCAAACCACATCGCTACCATCGACAACTTCCTGCCACCACAGGCTATCCAAGCGGATATAGGGATTTGTATCAGAACAGCTTGTAGGGTGAATGAGAATGGTATGAATTCATGGTAGCCGATCAAGCTTTCGTTTTCTCTGTACTTACAGTAAGAATTGAAGTACTTAACCGTCTCAGAGTTGGTGACGTATTCGGGTGGGTTACATTTTATACCAGTGTCCGCTGTGTGAGTAAATAATGAGTTAAAAGTATAGTATATAATTTTTAGATATCAAATCGAAAATCATATGCCAAAATATATAATTCATTTGATGAATTCATCAAAATTCAAAAAATTATAATAGAATAATGATAATAATTTGTTATTGATATTTATTATTATTGTTATAATTGTTAGTATCATATATTATATTATTCAGCATTGTAAATGGAAATAAAGGAATATTGTTATATAGCATTGGCATATTTCATAGGCCTATTATTATATTGCTTATCTATTTACGTGTAAAATTTCTTATATTAAGATTTAATCAAATTCAATTCAATTCAAATCTGGTTTATTCAAAAATAAAATGGCATTGCAGAATAAACTGAATTGTGCCAAATTTACATTAATAAAAACATTTAGATATATAAAAAGGTATTAAAAGCTATAAAAACCAATTAAATTTTTTTTTAAATACAAACATACAAATACAAGATGAATCCATTAAAATAAAGTAAAAGCAGTACAGCAAAGACATATAGCAAAAAACATAAAAAGAGAGTTTAAGAAAATAGAGACTTGCATGTTAAATATTAAAAATAATTAAAGTTATTGCCGATTATATTCTTTTGATAATACTGAGAACAGGCGATTTCCCTAAACGCTCAGTTCTGAACTTATACTGAGTAAGCTTAGTATTTAAGACTTTCTAGCCCAAGAGTATCTAATACTGATACATAAGCATTTAACTGTTGACCCAAAATAATCTGTAGGAGGAGAAAGGTGAGTAATAATAGTAATATAATATGTTAGACTTTACAACAACAAACTGGATAACAAAAATGTTATCCAGTTGCCCTATAGCATATATAGTAGGATATACTTTTACTTGGCCTTATATAATCTTATGTTCCTTCCTGCTTGTGTCATTAATCTGGAAACTATCATAATGATGATTTATTTATGCATGTGAAGCCTCTCAAACGTTTTGCAACAACTCACAAAATAATGTTTTCTATAGGCTTCTAAAGCCTCTCAACAGATATTAAGCCAGGCATTCACTGCGTACGACGGTCGTCGGCCGACGAAATTCTATGGAGAACGCAAAGTCTCGACGCGCAACGGATCGTTTTTAATGATGATCCGTTCTGACTGCCACAGACAATCATCAGCAGACGGCTTGGCGTCGTCTAGCGACTACGGGGAGCAGATTTTGATTCGTGGGCCGACGGTCGTACGACGCAGTGAGTGCCCGGCTTTACTCGTGCATTTAATCAATATTAAATGTATCATTATATTTACCAAATGTGTCACGCAATAAAGCTAAGGCGGCTAACAAGACTGGCAGTCGTGACTGTATCATAATATGGATGGCAGAATCGAATCCTAATAGATCATTACCCTCGTCTGGAGTGATATACGACAATGATCGAACTACGCCTAATGCAGCGGCCATTCCTGTATTTTTATCGTCCGCTTTCACGTACCGTAATGTATCTGTAATCAGAATAAGTTAAAAATAATGATCCTAGTCACAATCGTTTAAGCCTATGCAAAAGATACGAATGACATGGTGTAAAATAAACTTGAACATTGATCTAGCCCAGGGGTCTTTTTTCCTAAATATTGACATAGGTTTGAATTTGTGCTTTTATGTTGTTTTGTTTGTGACTTTGCAATAGCAATGAGTCGGTTGTTCAAGTACGTTAGATAAGCTATTACCACTTAATATGATTAGGCCTAAACACAGAAATATGAATGTAAATACAAAATTAAACATATGAATATCTGAATTAATTCAGGAGACACCCTAGACTTGCCACAAGTCCTTAGTTTGTTGGGACTTTTTAGTGTTAATTATTTTCGGAGAGCGCCACTAAACATGTTGGTTATGTTGTTGAATTTAAAATGGATGGGAATTAATCCGAGAAAAAGTATACTATGGAACACCATGTTAATAAGTAATATGGAACGCCATTGGTGCCAAAATGGATTTATTTTTAAAAGTTTTTATCGATTAAGGCAAAATTAGGGACTGGAACCCAGTCTAAAGAGACCACTTTTAATTAGACACATTTTTTGGTCGTGATGATGTCGTTTTAATAGAGGTATACTGTAACATAAGTGTGAATATCTTAATTTATCCGTCTACTGTAATTGAATTGATTACAGTAATTGAATTCAATACCAAAAGCCATTCTACTTCACGCATATCTTAAGAAGATATGGCTATATTATTAGGTGTGATATAGACCTGCTATATATTAGGTTCACACTTCCGTTCTGGCGAGTCGCGTTGCCAAGCGATAAGGCAGGGGCGCCGCTAACTACTCAACCTTAACATCGGCGCTGGTTCGAGTCGCTCCTCCTCCAGGCTTCGGTTTGTAGAACCAAGTCTTCTCGGACAAGGACTTCAAATAGTGATCCATTGTACACATCTGGCTCATGTGAACTTTAAAAACTCATTGCATCTTTCAAAAGAGTAAGGGGTTACCCCGATGCTATGATTCATTTCAGTCCCTGTCGTTGCGGAATGATGTATATTTACCACAATAACGATGCGAGTTATAGGCTGTTCTCCTAATCTTACGTACCTACATGTTTGTTAAAACAATTAGGTTACGTAAATTTGATTTAAAAAAAATAAAAAACAGAAAACTGTTACAAATGACGTTTCTATAATGTAGAACAGTTCTTAAAGCACATACCGTATCTTGTAACAAGTCATCGGGCTAAAGATCTGCTGCCTTGTTGAAAAACACAATGCGTTCTGAAAACCTCCCATGCGAATGCCCATCTGTCGCACACGTTACGTTGACATGTATAATATACATTAGGCAAGCGACACGTCACTTTAAATTTCTGATTACAGGCCGATTATTAAGTAGCTGGCTATTTATAGTTCAATTTAAAGAAATAAATGATTTATTAGAGTAATGACAGTTGCCATGACACCGAATCTAATAAACCTATCGCTTCCAACACAGCCATGAGTAAATTAGTTAATGTAATAGGTTGAAACAAGAGCGCTATTAAATTATTAAATAATTATTATCATTATCTTCAGATCATTTTCAATATTTAACAGGATTTCAAATAAATTATGAGAATGGGATAATATAAAATAATTGTATTACCATTTTCACCATTCAATGCGTCTCACGATGATATAGGCCTAGATTCGTTGTAATTTTACACTGTACTTATATAACTTTTGGTTTTACAATATGTCAAATTACGTTTGTGAATATTATTTTATCCAGTTAGGTTGGTTATATAATGAAATGAATAAATTTTTTCAGCTGACTTACTGTCATTGTGACAATATTTCACGTTCGATCAAGAACGCATAACCAGGGACGCCAAACTCTTTTAATGTTCATTGTGACTTCATATAGTAAGTATATCGTGTTCGCCTGCACCATGTAGCTTACATTGATAATTTCAACTCTACTGTAACGTTTTTGTGAGCTCACCTATCACATTTATTAAGTTGCATTTATATAATTCAATGATTAAGACAATAAATTCATTGAAACTAATTCACATATCAGTAGTGTGAAACTGGTGATTTTCGCCCATGCATGCTCACGTATCGGGTATTCTCGACTGCAAACATGTTGCTTCTCATCATTTGGGTATAATAACACAAGATACTCCACATAATCTAACTGCCATTATGAGGCTTAAGAAGTGGAGTTGTTTTGGTCGTAAGAAAAAACCCTGTTACCATGAATTGAACCCAGGACCATGGGATTGGAACGCAAGCATCTTAACCACAAAAGATGAGATAACCACCAATCTATTCAAATCCACTCATGCCCTATTATAAAATAAGAGTGTTCATCTACATTGAAAATCTCCCCCCCCCCCACCGAACCACGTCTGACAGGCCTAGACACCTGTCGTCCGACGCCACTAAGAATAAAAATTTGCCTATTCAGATAATTGCCAATCCCTAATACTGTAGTCTAAAAGCATACTTTTGGGCTATACTAAGCTATAAAAACTCTCCTCATAAACCCCACCAGGAATATTTATTCTTTGTCCTGACAGAGGCTCTTTGGCCCCTTTCTTGGACCCCGCTGTATCATCGGCATCATGCCGACAACACTAACATTCGACGCTCATGAAAAAGAGATCCGTGTGATACGCCATCTTCTTAGGCATCTTACAACAAGGAGCAGTGGCGTAGATAAGGTCAGTGCAAAGCACTGGTGTCCGGCCTGTTAAGGGTCCGTTAAATACTGCCTAAATCATCATCATTTATAATGTAGGCTACTGGTGATGGTGATGATGGTGACATCATAAGCCGGTGTGTCCCATTCAAACGTTATGATCCAAATACATAGATACACTTAAATGAACACCGAACGTATACAGGGTATTTCATATTCCTGTTAACTGTACTGTATTATGCTGTAGAACCTTACCATCATTAACAGTAGATCATATAAAACATTGTTCATATTCGATTGCGTGCCTATTTTATATAAAAATCAATATATCCCTTATAAGTGTAAAAATATAATATTACATTCAATCGATATATCACTGATTTGGAATATTGTTTGAAGGTTTGCATGGCGAAGTATAATATATAATTAATGCTTGCGGTACACCACGTAGATAGTTCTGAAAAGAACTGTTGTTGTTGGTTGAGAATATCTCGACGTTTCGGTTGACTTACTTCAACCGTCTTCAGGAGAAGAATATCTGTCAGATATTATTTTCCTGAAGACGGTTAAAGCAAGTCAACCGAAACGTCGAGATGATTTGGAATAGTTTCGCCTTAAAATGCAAGTGACTATTCATTTACTTAATTAAATTATTAACTATTGTGCATCAGAAAAAATTATTAACATGAGGCGTACCAAAAGTTCAATATTGAGCCCTTAATATTTCTTTTTATATTGTACGTAAATAATATTATTCATTCCTGAAAAGACCTTCATTTATAAGGCTGGCCAGCGGGCTCGCCAGTCATAATTAAAATAATGGTCCACTGTTTATAAATCTCTGTATCTATAGTACAGTAGTTTACCTTCAAAAGGAAAGCATAAGTCAGCCATCCATTAAAATTTGCACCATATTCAAGAAGTGATAATTTTCGCATTGTTTCTAAATTTTCGAGTATGGTACATAGTAAGCCTTTTAGATGGAGGACACTGCCTATCGTGGCTGACTGTCATTGTCGAAGATAAAACAAACATACTGTCGCAATTCTGTCTAGAACATTTGTCTTTCCCCGACGCGTTTCCTTGATGGACAGAAGCTCTCCTGGCCCACCCCCCACCCCATATGGCCTGTCTCTTATACACATCTAGATGTGTATAAGAGACAGCATTTATATAATTCAATGATTAAGACAATAAATTCATTGAAACTAATTCACATATCAGTAGTGTGAAACTGGTGATTTTCGCCCATGCATGCTCACGTATCGGGTATTCTCGACTGCAAACATGTTGCTTCTCATCATTTGGGTATAATAACACAAGATACTCCACATAATCTAACTGCCATTATGAGGCTTAAGAAGTGGAGTTGTTTTGGTCGTAAGAAAAAACCCTGTTACCATGAATTGAACCCAGGACCATGGGATTGGAACGCAAGCATCTTAACCACAAAAGATGAGATAACCACCAATCTATTCAAATCCACTCATGCCCTATTATAAAATAAGAGTGTTCATCTACATTGAAAATCTCCCCCCCCCCCACCGAACCACGTCTGACAGGCCTAGACACCTGTCGTCCGACGCCACTATAAAGAATAAAAATTTGCCTATTCAGATAATTGCCAATCCCTAATACTGTAGTCTAAAAGCATACTTTTGGGCTATACTAAGCTATAAAAACGCTCCTCATAAACCCTACCAGGAATATTTATTCTGGGTCCTGACAGAGGCTCTTTGGCCCCTTTCTTGGACCCCGCTGTATCATCGGCATCATGCCGACAACACTAATATTTGACGCTCATGAAAAAGAGATCCATGTGATACGGTACGCCATCTTCTTAGGCATCTTACAACAAAGAGCAGTGGCGTAGATATGGTCAGTGCAAAGCACTGGTGTCCGGCCTGTTAAGGGTCCGTTATATAATGCCTAAATTTTATAATTAATAAAAAAAACCCATAGGTTTACTGATATATATACTGA